AAAGCCCATCTGCCATTTATTTGCCCAACTCACTAAATGATCTAAATCCTTTTGTAAATCAGCAGCATCCTTTTCACAGCTAGCAACATCAAAGACCTTAATATCATCTGCAAATTTAAGTAATTTATTGACTATTATTTTATCTGTGTCATTGATGTAAATCAAAATGAGCAAAAGTCCTAAGACTGAGCCATGAGGTATCCCAGTTATGACATTAGTCCAGTTTGACTGAACTCCATTTGTAACAATCCTCTGCTTTCTTCCATTCAGCCACTTTTTACAAGCCTTTTATGTGGCACCTTGTCAAGTGCATTCTGAAAATCCAGATACACCCTTACCCTCATCTACTACATATGCAGTAACCTTTTCAAAGAATATCAAAAGATTTTTAAAACAAGATTTTCCCTTAGTGAAACCATGTTGACTATCCAATAAAATTATAAACTTTGTTAAATGACTTTGCAAAGCATCTTTTAAGACTTTCCAAAACTTTTCCCACAACTGATGTGAGACTAATGAGTCTGTAATTACCATAATTTTTATTACCTCCCTTGAAAAGAGGAGTTACATTAGCTAACTTCCAATCCTCTATTACCTGCCCACTATTCAAGAACTGACAAAAAATAGTAGTAAGTGGCTCACATATTTGATCTTTAACTTCCTTCAAGACCCGTGTGGAAATATCTGGCCTAGGAGCTTTATCGTTCTTTAAACTTCCCAATTTTTTCTTAACCTGCTGAGAATTAATGTAGTCATCTTGTTTCCATCTGTCAACTGTTCAAGATCTGCAATACTGCTTAAATCTTCATGAATAAAAACCAAAGAAAAAGCAAAATTTAATAACCCAGCTATCTCATAATCATTAGATACTAGCCTTCCTTTATCATCCCTCAAGGGTCCTACCCCCATCTTAACATTTTGTTTAACCTTAATGTATTTATAGACATCCTTACTGTTAAGGTTAAATGTAGATGATTTTGATGTCAGAAATTTTTTGAAATACGGGGTTATAGGGATAGAGTATTAAAGAGGGGGGGGGGTAGCTTTATATGTAAAATATGAGTTACGTCCTGTTGAAGTTTAGGATATCAAAGATAACAGCAAAGACTGTATAAAGAGAGAAGGCTTTTAATGGTAATTTGTTACAGACCACCAGATGATACTGATGAAATTAGCAAGAAACTTTACAATGAGTTTAAGATTTCAGCTGTTAATGAAGTCAAAATTATGGGTGATTTTATTTACAGGCATATAGGATTGGGAAATTCTAGAGTCAAACCATGAGGGAGAAAGGTTTTTGGAAACTGTTTAGGATGACCTTCTTTACCAATTAGTCAAGGAACCAACTAGAAACAATTCCATTTTAGATTTATTGTTAACTTCAAATACAGAAATGATTGAGAGGGTGGATATTGGGGAACATCTTGGTGCAAGTGATCATTGCTTTATTAGGTTCAATGCTTTGCTAAATATGGAGGTAAGTAATAATGATATTTTGGTTACAAATTTCAAAAAAACAAATTTGTGAGGGATGCGAAAAGAATTATATGTTGTTATAAACAAGATTACGACAC